AGAATTGTTTGGAATTATTTTAGTTTTTGTTTTAAAAAACATATTTTATTTAGTTTTTTGCTTGAACATCGTTTGCTCGCCGACCATAACCTGCAGACCCTCACCTAAATCTGAAAAAGATTTGTGAATCAAAACGGTAAGGCTATGTTTGGGACAATATTTTGCTACTATTTTTTTACTGATTAAAAAAAAATTATTAAAGAACTGCTTTTTGAATATTTGCTGAAGGAAGCTCAAGTCCTTTTTTTTTTCCTTAACTTTGTCCATGTAACTTTTAAATTCTTATATTTAAAACTAAATATCTTGATTTTATTTTTCATTTTTTGAGTTTGAATAATTGTAATTTTATATTCGGAAAAAATAATAGTTGATAAGTCCTCAAAAAATTATCTTGATCGGGCACAAGTATCAATGCAAAATCAAGTTGGAAACTTCTGAAATTAAAATTGGCACCATCCGAACTCCGATTTCAACAAACTTATAGTCAAACTGAACGTCTTGGAAATACAAACCCAACGACGGCAAATTCGACTCAATCCGAGCCCAAATGAGTCCAAATCAAGGACCCAAAGCGCTGTTGGAAGGTTCAAACCACAATTTGGGTTACCAAACCATTTCCAAACATGACGTGCTTATAGTCGAATTGAGCAGCTCGATGAGACGAATCCAATGAGCCGAAGATCGCCGAATTACGACATTATTAAGGCCTTCAAATGTTTGACGAATGGTGCATGATCAAGGGATTCAATATCGGTCGTTCATCCAACCACTCCCTATTTACCCTTGATCTCTTACCTATTTACGGGCCATGTCACTCTAGAAATTTATAAATAAACCCCTCATTTCTCTTGAAAACGGAGGGAAGAAAGAAAAGAAGGAAGAGAAGGAAGAAGCACCTCCTCGACCACCGTCTGAGATCCGCTGGACCACCACTTAAGGCCATCACCTCCGCCGGACCACCGCCTGACATCGTTACTCTGCCGGACCATAACCTGAGGCCCTCACCTTCACCGGACCACCACTTGAGGCCCTTACCTTCGCCGTACCACTGCCTGACATCATTGCTCCACCGGACCACCGCCTGACATTGTTGCTCTGCCGGACCACCGTCTGACATCGTTGCTCCGCCGGACCATAACCTGAGGCCCTCACCTTCGCCGGACCACCACTTGAGGCCCTTACCTCCACCGTGCCACTGCCTGATATCGTTGCTCCGCCAGACCACCACCTGAGGTCCTGAACTCCGCCGGACAACCACTTGAGGCCCTCACCTCCGCCGGACCACCGCCTGGCATCGTTACTCTGCCGGACCACCACCTGAGGCTCTCATATTTACCGGAACACCACTTGAGGCCCTCACCTCCGCCGGACCACCGCCTGACATCATTGCTCCGCCGGACCACCACCTGAGGCCCTAAGCCTTCGCCGGATCACCACTTGAGGCCCACACCTCCGCCAGACCACCGCCTGACATCATTGCTTAACTGGACCACCACCTGAGTCCCTGAGCTTCACCGGACCACCACTTGAGGGCTTCACCTCCGTCGAACCACCGACTGACATCGTTGCTCTGACGGTCCACTATTTGAGCACTGGACTTCTGTCGTACCACAACTTGAGGCCCTGTGCTCTACCATGCAACCACCTGAGGCTCGAACTTCCGCCAGGCCACCACTTGAGGCCCCGAGCTCCACAAGGATACCACATAACGCCTGAAGTTCTGCTGGACCACCACCTGAGTCCGGGACTTCTACCGGACAACCACTTGAGACCCAAAATTCTACTGGTCCATAACCTGAGGCTCGGACTTTTGCCACGCCACCACTTGATGCCGAGAGTTCTCCCGAAATACCGCTCTTCTACCATGATCTTTCTGACCCCGGTCTCCTACCAACTACGATCTTTTGGACATCTATCTCCTACTGATTATGATCATTCTGACCTCCATTACCTACTATGATCATTTTTTACCTCTTTAACCAGACAACAGTCTTTTAGACCCCGGTTTCCTGCCGACTACGGTCCTTCTGACCTTCGTCACCTACTATGTTCATTTCGACCTCCATCACTAGACAACGATTTTTTAGACCTCGGTCTCCTGCAGACTACGATCCTTCCGACCTCCATCACCTACAATGGTCCTTCTGACCTCCATCATCAGACAACGGTCTTTCTGACCCCGATCTCCTGCTGACTACGGTACTTTCGACCTTCGTCGCCTACTATGGTCCTTCCGACTTCCATCAACAGACAATGCTTTTTGACCCTGGTCGCTTGCCGACTACGGTCCTTCCGACCTCCATCGCCTACTATTGTCCTTTCGACCTCCATCAACAGACAACGCTTTCTGACCCCGGTCTGCTGCCGACTATGGTCCTTCCGACCTCCATCACCTACAATGGTTCTTTCAACCTCCATCACCAGACAACGGTCTTTCGGACCCCTGTCACGTGCTGACTATGGCCCTTATAACCAAACAAAACATGTATATTATTATAACTCCCACCATGTAATACAATATATATGATGTACATTTGTGACATCAAGCCAAGGCCTTATCCTAAGAAAGGGCCTCATTTGTAATCGACTGCAAAGACTAGTGGATTCATTGAAATTGGGCCAAACCCCATGATTTTTCCCCCTTTTCAGGGGTTTTCACGTAAAAACTATGGTGTCTCTTATGAATGCTACACCCTCTCTTTTATCTGATTGTGTGCTGGATCTTTGTGCAATGCTAAGACGTTAAACTATATATTTCTCTATCGTCGCTAATATTCTAGGACACAACAATAGTAAAAGAATTGGCAAATATCATTATACCTCTAAAGTTAGAGGTTCAACTCATATATGCTATGATTTATTATTAATCATTTTTTAAAAATAAATTCATCATTTCTTTCTTTAAAAATAATATTTTTATTTACTCCATTTTATTATTTTTATTATGTTTATTTTTAAAAAAAGAAAAAAAAATACAATTAGAGTAGACATGCATTTATCTAAATCTAATATTAAATCTTAGAAAGTGATTTTTGCAAAATAAATTTAATATAAAATCTAAACTTTAGGAAAGATAAGTTTAGAATGTGACCTCAAATAATTAGATAAGCATAATGATGATGATGAATGATATTTTTGCTAAATAAATTCAAAGTTGGAGGAGACCAAAAAGGTTACAATCAATAGTTATGATTATAATGTAAGCTTGTTTTCTATTATTTTGAGAGTTAAGTTTATAACAAATGTAATTATTTGATTTCTTAGAGTTTTTTATTTATTGCATAGTACAAATATATGTATTTTTGTTTGATTTTCAAAGTACTATAAGAATATATTTTATATTAAGATGGATTTATTTTTATTACATATAAAATCTCTATATAAATAATTTATTAGATAATGTAATGTATTATTGAATAAATAGACGTTTGGCGTCCATACAGAATAATTAATCCTATGCATTATTTACTAAAGAAAATATTTTCATTGTTTAATAGTTTAATTGTTTTTATAAAAAAATATATTTATTTATGTAATAATGTAATTTATCATAATAAGATTCGATCAAAATATATTTATCCATCGCCATCGATCCAACCGGCCGCGTATCTTTCAATCTTTCATGCTCTACCGGGTCAAATCTGGTTAATTATCGGGTTCGGTACCCGGATGGACTTGATCTCATTTGATTCTCATCCACTTAAGATCTGACCCGACCCGTTAACATTCTCTTAATTATACCAATCAAAATAATATACTTTGAAGTATATGCTTAACATGGATGTCATATCCGTTATTTATAAAACATCTCATGCGTACGGCATCATGGAATAAAATTTAAGCTTTAAGATTCGTGCAATATAAAATTTAATATTACTTAAAATAAAATTTAAACATTTTATAATTATGTATGATTTTTATTCTATGTGGATAGTCTCAAAATTTTTAACAATTAAAAAATATTAGTCTAAAAGAAAATATTTTATTTAACAAAAATAATGGGGTTTAGAAATACCATGATATTTCATCTGATTAAGTGATATATCCTATTAGAAAAAAATTAATTTAAAATTTTATTTTAAAATATAAAATTCATTTTTAAGAACTTTAAAACTTAAACTTAATTGTTTAATCACACATCACTTTGAAAACTTTATTTTAGTATTTTTGATTTCCAATACATCTTCTTGGAGTGGAGAAACTATTTCGTGCAGAATTCAGATGGAAAGTTTTCGCCCGTGCTGTTAGTGTACATACTGTGTATAAATATTACGTACAAAGTTTTAACTAAAATATGTACAAAAATTATAAACAGTATATACACTCACAGTCCGGACCAAAAATTATACACAGTATCCTGAGTCAGCATGAGTCTCATGTTTGATGGACGACTTTATCTACTTTTAAATTTATTTTTTTCAATATTTAATTACATTATTAAGATTTTAATAATACCTAATTTAAAAATTTCCCCTAATTATTATTATTATTATTATTTATTTTAATAGGAGCACTCAAAAAGATTTATGCATTGTTACAACGTGCGCTCATATAAGGTTAAAAAAAATATGCATATGAAATTAGAAAAAAATATATAAAACTAACCCAGCCAATGGATACGACGGAAATTGGCATCAAATAGTGGCGTTTCCGTAATTAGAGGATCATCCAAGGGGCATATCCCAAGCATACACTGAAGATGATCTTGTGCGTGAATGGTGGGGTAGAGAAGCAGCACCGTAGCATCATATGCACGACCGCATACAAAGCTTATGCGAGTTTCCTCTCCCGCCGTTAATTTTGCCCGCAGGCATCAACAGGTAGCCGCCGTGAATCCGTGATCGACGATCGGTTAATCGAACGGTAATCGGTTGATTTCGCATAAGAAATTTACGTGCGGTTTGTTTGCTGAATTGCCGATTGGTTGCTTCCTGGTGGACTTTATCCCCTTTCTTTTTTTCTTAAGATGGTGGAGTCCAGAAACGATCGAGCCCAGAGGAGTCTCGCCACTGAGAGAGAGAGGTGAGAGGCGTATCGTTCGATTCGGAAGGAGTGGATGGGGGGAGAGAGCAGAGCAAGGGGGAGATCCGGCGATCCGGCTGTCGGCGGAAGAAACGGCGGCGGCGGGTGGTGGGCCGACGACATGAGCTTGAACGTGTGCAGGACGATGGAAGCGGAGTACGTTCGAAGGCATCACAGGCATGTGACGATAGGGAATCAGTGCAGCTCTGCTCTCGTGAAGCACATCAAAGCGCCGGTTCACCTCGTGAGACCTCGATCCCTTTATTTTTATTATATCTCTATTGTGAGATGCGATCAGATCATTAGGTCGATGTATGGATTGGATTTCATGTAGCTGATGTTTTTTTTTTTCCCCTAAATCTTGAAGGTATGGTCTCTGGTGAGGAGATTTGATCAGCCGCAGAAGTACAAACCCTTTGTGAGTAGATGTGTGGTTCAAGGGGATTTGGAGATTGGAAGCGTTAGGGAAGTGAATGTGAAGTCAGGGCTTCCGGCTACTACCAGTACTGAGAGGCTGGAGCTGCTTGATGACGATGAACACATATTTGGGATCAAGATCGTTGGAGGGGATCATCGTTTACAGGTTTGATTGAAGCTTTACCTATCGTATTCTGCGTTCGTGGTTTATCTGAAGAGGTTTTTTATTTTTTTATTTTTTTGCTTCTATTTTTCGTTTATTCTTACCACTTAACGTTTTTTTTTTTTATTATTATCACAGATTCTGGGTTAATTCCATGTACTTTTTGAATTCTCCCGTCCATCATAATAATTAACGAACAATAATTCTTGGTTAAAATTGTTTGGGGAATTACATAAATAACACTCAAAATTTTCATATTTATAAAAGAAAAAAATTGGCCAACATATCCTAATAAAAACTATATATGTGCTCTAAAATCATTGGATTTCTTTCATATTAATATTATTGTATGTGTGCTTACAAATCATTGGATTATTTTTATATTAAGTGTTTGAATTTCACTCATTTCAAAGAAAAATCAATTATTTTCAAGCTTATTCTCATATAATTTATATCTAGATATCAATATACATTTTTTGTTTACAAAACTAGTATATATATTTGTACGTGCCACAATCAAACTGTTGGGTATTTCACAAAAGCAAAAAATATTGATTGGGATTTTTTGTGACTTTTGACATTTAAGTGAGAATTTGAAAATTGGATGTAAGAGATTGTTAATTTCATTCAACAACAACAACATCAAGCCTTTATCTCACTATATGGGGTCGGCTACATGGATCATTTTTCTCCTTTGTGTCTAGTTAAGAGTCAAATTGACATTTAGATCTTATAAAAAAAAGGTCATTTCTAATATTTTATAACCAAGTCTTTTTAGTTCTACCTTTATCTTTTTTAACATAAGTCAAATATAATACATCTACTCTCCTAACCAGGTCATCAGAAGGTTGATGTTTTATATGACCAAACCATCTAAGGCAACTCTCTCTAATCTTATCTGCCACTGGAGCTACTCCAGCCTTTTCACGTATATGCTCATTTTGTATCTTGTCTCTAAAAGTAACGCCACTCATCCATCTGAGCATCCTCATCTCTGCAACACTTAACTTAATATTATGCTTCTCTTTTAATAGCCTTCATTCTGCACCATAAAATATTGTAGATCTAACCACCATCTTATAGAATGTTCTATTAAGTTTTAGGGGTACTTTTCTATTACACAATAAGCCCGATGCATTCCTCCACTAAACCCATCCAACTTTAATCCTACTAATAATATCCCCATCTATTTCACTATCACTCTGAACAATAGACCCAAGATATCTAAAATGTGTACTCTTATTAATGACTTTATCGCTCAAAGTCGCAAACCCGCCACTAGATCTATTACCACTAAAATTACACTCAATGTATTTGATTTTAGATATACTCAAACGAAAACCTTTAGACTCTAAGGTTGACCTCAATAAATATCATATGAAGATCTTCCTTTTTCTCTCTATACTTCTCCATCAAACCTCTCAATAAATGTATGGCTTGTACAGTAGAAATACCTGACATGAATTTAAATTGATTTTGAGAAACATTAGTATCACGTCATAACCTATGCTCCATAACTCTCTCTCATCATTTTAAAGTAAGATACATCAACTTATTTCCTCTATAATTTGCACAATCTTGTGCATAACCTTTATTCTTAAAGATAGGAATCAACACACTTATTCTCCACACATTTGGCATCTTCTTAGTCTTCAAAATAATATTAAAAAGTTTAGTAAGTCAAAAAAGTTCTTCTCCTAAGCATTTCCTTGCCTCTATTGGAATATCATCAGGTCAAATAGCTTCATTTTCTTTGAAGCATCTTTAACTTCAGTTTTAGTAATACGTTGATAAAAATAAAAAATTTTATTTTCATTTAGAATGTTAAGGCCACTAAAGTGAATCGCATTTTTATAATCTTCATTAAAAAGCTTAGCAAAATATCTCATCCACCTTTGTTGAATATCCTTTTCTAAAAAAATACTTTTTGATCTTCATCTATAGTGTACTTCACTTGAACTAAATCTTTACTAACATCTCTTTATTTTGTTAGCTTATACATATATCTTTTGCCCTCTTTAATATATAATCTATTATATAAATAATTAAAAGCTAATGTCTTTATATCGCAGAATGCTTTCTTAGACTCCTTACAGACAATTTTATATCTTTCTCAATTTTCAGAATTTTTACATCTAAATCAATTTTTATAATAAATATTCTTATTTTTATCTTTTTCTTGCACATTTTTTATTCTACCACCAACTATTTTATTATTTAAAGCTTTTTCTTTTGATACTCCAAGCACATCTTTTGCAATATTCTTAATATTACAAGTTATTATTTTTCACATAACATAGCTTCCTCATGCACCAACAAAATCTTAAGATCGTGAATCTTACTCTCAAAGATATTTTCGTTAGAGTTCCTTAAATACCACCATATAATCCTAGAACAATAATATATTATATTTTTCATACTCTGACCTTTCATTTTAAAGTCCAAAACTAATAAGCAGTGTTGGGTACATAGACTTTCAGTTGGAATCTAAACGATCTATTATTCTTACAAGAAAATAATCTATCTGAGTTTTACTGTATTCATTCTTATAATTGATGAGATGTTCATCTCTTTTCTTTTCATAAATAACATATTAGCAATAATAAAATCATAAGCTATAACAAAATCTAATATAGTCTTATCACCTTCATTAGTTGCTACAAACCCATGACCATCATGAATGCTTTTAAAATCCTCTACCTCTCTACAAACATATCCATTTAAATCTCCCTCAATAAAATTTTTTTCTTTAGGATGTATTTTTTGTATTAATTATTCTAAATCATTCTAAAATTTTAATTTTGAGCACATATCCAAACTTACTTGAGTAATATAAACACTTATAATATTAATAATCTTATTATCAATAATAATCTTCAAATCATAATTCTATCTCTAATTCTATCTCTAATTCTATCAATTTTTACAACACTATCTTTCAAACTCTTATCTATAATCATATATACATTATTTCTAGTACGACTCCTACTAGAATATCAAAGTTTAAACCCTAAATTATTAATCTCCTTATCCTTCTCTCTCATCCATTTAGTTTCCTGAATGCATAAAATATTTATCTTCCTATTAATCATAATATCAATTAATTTCATTAATTTTCTTTTAAGGGAACATACATTCCACAATCCTAACCTAATTTTAGTTTCATGAATTAGCTTATTTTCCCACATATGTCCATGATGTGGGAACTCTTGCATATTTAACACTGTATACGGGTGTCGGTGCAGCAAGCCCTTGCGCACTTCTCACTGTATTTAGTTCATATAGCACGTCACTTTTAAGGAACGACTTAACATTGACACAATGTATTAAAGTATTCATGTTATGATTATTCCACAAATTTTACGCTGGTTGTCGACTACCAAATACAACCCTCCACTTTAATAATCATAATGTTTTGTTATCCTCTGGTTTCTTCACCTTATGCCTCTCTGTTTCCTTTTTTTTAAGTTATATTCTTTAAAGTATCTACTACTCTTCTGCTTCCAATATAGAATGGAGCCAAATTTCCTTGGTACGGAATCTTTTTTTTTCTAGCCAAGCTTGATGCACATGCTTTTTGTTATATATATAATTCTTTGCATCTGCCATCAATTCTTTATTACTTAGTTTGCATCCATCTATGGGTATTTCCGACATAAATTGGTGGAGCTAATCCTTTTTAAATGATCTTTTTTAATGGAGTTTGCACCAACGGTATTATGCATTTGTTGACCTTCGCTTGCATCTTTGTTTTGGACCGGTAGTGTTGTGAATTGCATATTGGTAGTGCTGAATCATAAGGTACGACATGCCTTTAAGAATCAAATTCTCCCAACACGATGGAAAAAATTGGCCCTTTTGTCAAAAAGAGCTTTAAAACCATTTACTTTGAGAGGAGTAAAATATAAATTTTATTTGATTCTTAATGTAATTTACTTATCTTTAAATAAATTTAATAGTTTTGAGACTTATTCTGAACAAAGATTATGATATTCTGCATACATTTTTTTCTAAAATAGTTATATCAGAATGATTGGAAGACGATTGTTTAAAATAAAAAGAGATTTGATAGAAACTACACTTAAGTATCAGACTTCAAAATAGAAATTTAAGACCACCAAATACCATTGTTGGTGGGACAAGTAAGCATCCTGTAGTTTATACCCATTTTGTCATTCATTACCCTGAGTACAAGTCAAGTAAAGTAGGAAGGAGTACCCCATTGCTCATTTCTTTCCTTTTATGATCTACAGAACTACTCGTCGATCGTTACTGTCCACCCTGAGTGCATCGACGGAAGATCCGGCACTCTTGTTATCGAGTCATTTGTCGTGGATGTGCCCGATGGAAACACAAAGGATGAGACATGCTTCTTCGTCGAGGCTCTAATTAAATGCAACCTTAAGTCTCTAGCCGACGTATCGGAGCGCCTCGCAATCGAAGATCACACTGAGCCCATTGATCTGTGATGATGCTTATAGAGAAAGAGCCACAATTTCATCATCTCCTGAAGTTTTCGATGCAGTCTTCAAACCCCCACTGAGTGCTGGCAATGGCTGCTGATGGAGTGATTCGAAGTATCTTGCTGGTATTTCCTGACTGATTATGCCTAGTGGTTACAAAGTTGCTTTCTCTTTGTTTGTTTTCCCTATCTATGCTTAGAGTTTTATATGTAGATAACCCAATTCCAGTTCTGGTTAGTTCTAGTAGAGATAAAGCTAGAGAAACTCTGAGCTGGATAGTTGCAATTTGTCAAAGGAAAGCACTGTAAATATGTGTTGACATTGCCCTGTTTTCTTCAAAAAATGAGCTTTGGAATCGGAATTCCACTTTTATCTTTCAGATTCTTTCTCACATTTCATATAGCTGAGTTTATGTTGAAGCATGCATAAATTAATTTAGACTTTTTATTGAATATACTTAGAGTAATCAGGTGTGAGTGCCCAACCATTTAGCTGTTCACTTGCAATCAATTAGGTGCGAGTACAAAACAACCTAGAAATAGCTGTGTACTGAGTATGCATTTGATTGATCATACACACTTAAAATTGCTTATGTAATTCGTACATAATAATTTCTCGGTTGAAAGATTCCGAATTGAGGAACAATAATATCAAGCCTTTAACCCACCATGTGTGGTCGGCTACATGAATCATTTCTTTCCATTTTGTGCCGGTAAGAGTAAAATTCTCAATTAAATCTAATAAAGAAATGTCATTTCTAATATTTTATAATCAAGTTTTTTTAGATCTATCTTTACCTTTTTTAATATAAGCCAACTCTAATACATCTACTCTCCTAACTGAGTCATTAGAAGGCCGTTGTTTTATGTGATCAAACCATCTAAGGTGACTCTCTCTAATATTATCTTCCATTAAAGCTACTCCAACCTTTTCACTTGTATGCTCGTTTCGTATCCTTTCTGTAAGAGTAAAACTAATCATCCACCTGAGCATCCTCATCTTTGCAACACTTAGTTTAATATTATGCTTCTCTTGTAATGGCCAATATTCTGTGTCATAAAGCATTGCAAGTCTGACCACCATCTTATAGAATTCTCCCTTAAGTTTGAGGGAGACTTTTCTATCACACAACAAGTCCGATGCATTCCTCTACTTCAGCCATCCAACTTGAATTCTGCAAATAACATCCTCATTTATTTCACCATCATTCTGAATAATAGACCCAATATATCTAAAGCGTTCACTCTTATTAATTACTTGATTGTCCAAAGTCAGTATCTCGTCGCTGCATCTATTACTACTAAAATTACACTCCATATGTTCGATTTTAGAGCTACTCAAACAAAAATCTTTAGACTCTAAAGTTGACATTCATAATTCAAGTTTACATTCAACTCCCTCTCTAGTCTTATCAACAAGAAGAATATCGTCAGCAAAAGTATACACCAATGTACAACCTCTTGCAAATGTCTAGTAAGACCATCCATAACTAAAGCCAAAAAAGATATGAGCTTAAGGTTGATCTTTGACATAATCCAACTGAAATAGAAAAAGGCTTAGTCAAACCACAAACACAAGTAACATCTCCTCCATACATATCTTTAATAACTTGAATGTAAGCATTATTAACTACTTTCTTTTCTAGAACTCTCCATAGCACTTCTCTTGGAACATTATCATATATTTTTTTCTAAATCAATAAATATCATATATAAATCTTCCTTATTCTCTCTATACGTCTCCATCAAACCTCTCAATAAATATATAGCTTCCATAGTAGATCTATCCGTCATGAATCCAAATTGATTTTCAAAAACATTAGTATCACATCGTAACCTATGCTCCATAACTCTCTCTCCCATAGTTTTAAAGTATGACACGTTAACTAAATTCCTATATACTTCGCACAATCTTGTGAATCGAGGAAGAGGCAAAGAGAAAAAAATTAAGTCATGGCTATTCTTATATATATAAAGAATATTCTAATGCTTATCTTTACATGATGGTGTTATCTGTTGGCATCAACAATAGATGATAATCACATGTGAGTTTTGAGTATTTGACTTATCTATCTTTTTGGTGAGAATATGTGAATAGAAACACTCTTCACCAACCACACATACAACAATCTTGAAATATATGCACATTAGTATTTTAGCTGATCCAAATTCTTACACAAGTTGTTTTTTTTTTTGTTGCAAAATAGGTTAAATTTTATTTTATTATCAATAAATATTATTAATGAGTGCATTGCTGGTGAGTAGGATACATAATTGCTCACCTTGAAAAAAAATTAATAGAATAAGCATTATAACTATTTATCACATCATCAATAAACTCCTTTATCTTAAATTATAAGAATTTCTTTTTTAAATTTTACACTTAAGATTATACATAAATTGAATATATGGAGTGTATTTTTTGTAATGATAGATCTAGTGGGAGGATTGTGACTTTGGGTGATCAAGTCATTAATAAGAATACACATTTTCGATGGGATTGTAGTCGGTGGGCGACGTCGTAACGGTGGTTGGAGAGATCATAGTCAGACGACAGAGGTCAAAAGGATGGTAGTTGGGCGACTGAGGTAGATAGGACCAATTTTGAGTGATGGAGATCGAAGGGACCATCGTCATGTGACTGAGGTCGAAGGGATTGTTGTCGAGTGATGGAGGTCGGGGGGATCGTAGTACGCGGCCAGCAAAGGTTAGGTGGAGACCTGTCAATGGAGACTAGACGGAGGTTCGATGACGATGGTCAGGCAAAGATCCACAGAGTTGGCTGGACGGCAAGGATCTGCCAACGATGGTTGCTGGGTGGAGCTTCTGGACTCTTGGAGCTTCAGAGCTCTCTTGAGTCTCTAGCCCAGGGCCCAAACCTCCAAAAACCCTATTCATGTAGAGAGTGATGGTCTATTTATAGATTTTGTGAGTAGCATGTTCCGTAAATATGGAGTAGATCAATGAAAAATTCAGAGTACTCCATCACACGGCTCATATGATTCCCTTGATCATAGAGCATTTATTCTGCATTTAAGTGTCTTAATGGCATCTCATATCTGAAGATCATTTGGGTTATCCAATAACGTTTTTAAGCTTCCAAATATGCTTTGTCTCTTAATTTGGACCCATTTGGGCTCTGGTTAGACCGCTTTTGATATTGTTATGTTCATCTCATTGAAACGTTCAATTTGACTATAAGTGTTGAAATCGGAGTTTGGATAATCCCCAATTTAATTTTGAAAATTTTCAATTCAAATATGCATCAAGATTCATGCACAACCAAGACAGTTTTTTGTAACTTAACATTACTCAATTTGCATGGCAAGGTGAACCATAGAGGCATAGTTCAATTTTTAGTCCAACAAAACAAAAAACTATATGAAAGAATTATTTTGATTAAAAAATTTTAATTTAAATGTAATTATAATAATTAGTTTAACATACTTTTAATTAAATAATTATGTATTTTATTTATTTAATAACAAATACAATAAGATAGGGAACACGTTTTTTTCTCCCTAAATAGCACATTGCATTTAGACCTCGGCTGTGCTTATAACAAGATTATATAGAGCCATGTGCAAAGTTGGTCAAAGGCCAACAACCAAGAATAATAAATATTTAGGTTTTGTTTGGGATAGCTTTTTAACTACTTTTTAAAGTAAATTTTTAATTTAAAATTTTTTTAAATTATAATTTTTTATACTAGAAAATTTCTTTAGAAAATAATAAAAATTAAACCTTAGTTTATTAGAGAATAGAGAATGACAAAGATTATATGGGCCTATTTGAGCCAATTTTTTTAGAAATTTTTCTGAGCTATATGCAATTTTTTTTGCAAATTTTTATGATGATGATGAATTTTTTATAATGATATACTAAAATTTGCAGCCTGTAACATAAAATTATTATCCTATTTTATAAAAGAAAATCTACATGAAATGATTTTTTTAAAAAATATACATGAAATGATTTTTTTTTATGATAACTGTTGTGTCTTGGAGTATTCGTGGCCGTAGAGAAATATATGGTTTAATGCCTTAGCGTTGTACGAAGATCCAGCACACAAGCAGATAAGAGAGAGGGTGCAGTATTCATAAGAGACACCAAAGTTTTTACGTGGAAACTCCTAAAAAAATGGGAAAAACCATGGGGCCTAGCCCAGTTTGAATGAATCCACTAGTATTTGCAGTCGATTACAAATGAGGCCCTTCCTTATGAGAAGACATTGGCTTGATGTCTCAAATATATATCATATAGGGCACATTATATGGTGGGAGTTACATATATATGTTTGTTTGGTCGACAGGACCATAGTTGATGGGATAGAGGTTGGAAAGATTGTAGTTGGCAGGAAACTGAGGTTAGGAAGACCGTTGTCTGATGATGGAGGTAGAAAAGATCGTAGTAGGCGACGAATGTCGGAAGAACCATAGTCGGCAGGAGATAAGGGTCCTATAGACCGTAATTTTAGGGCGGTACTATGGTAGTGCCACGCCCCAAGATCTAACTTGGAAAGAATGTCGATCAACCCAGCCATTTACCAGAGTCATCTATAGGCTCCAATTAATAACAGTTTATAAAAAAGTCTATAAATTTAAAACATCCATATACAAGTCGATCCATATCTCAAAACATCATATACAATACTCAGGAACTATGCTAAAACCACAGATACTGAAATCTATCATGTCCTGAGTACAAAAGAATCAAAATCATCAAAAGAACTAAAACCTGTAGAACCGGATCAATTCCTATCTTCTGCTCCCTTGCCCTGACCTGAAAATATCAACCACATATAATGAGCTTTACAAAGCCCAGCAGGT